TGTTTTAGGAAGATCAGCTCTCTTCCTCAATCTGCTGAATCTAGTCAGCCTGTCTAGAGTTCCTTGTGTTAGGAAGATCAGCTCTTCCTCAATCTGCTGAATCTAGTCAGCCTGTCTAGAGTTCCTTGTGTTAGGAAGATTAGCTCTTCCTCATCTAGCAGCAATCATTTGTCAATATTCCTTTTGATTGTGCTAAGTAATTTTAATTGTCATACAATCCAAGTTGCTTTCATACTTTTACTTAAAAATAAATTTGTCATCTTTAAGATGTGCCAAGTTTATGGTTTTCAAAGTAACAGGGAGCCTGTTCTGAACAGACAATTAGATTTCTAGAACTCTTCATTCAATGGCATGGGGCTGAGGAGCACCATTAGGAAAGAGTGTAGGACTACTGCACTTAAATTTGCTTTTCAAATTTAAAACCCATGTTGTTGCACTGGAAACTTGTTTCCCTCTTTTATGAGCCTTTCATTAATTAAAAAAAAAAAACTTGTCAATCTGTAAATATTTAACCAGCTTGAGCAGGAAACAGTCTTTTCTTCTCTGAGACACGCAGGTTTGTTTTTATCTGGGTTGGTATGAGTGCCATGCAAATACCACATAAAAATTTGACTTTGATTGTCCTTACTTTGACTGAAGCTTGACAGGGACTCTTTAATTAATCTTGTTCTCTTTTATGTTCTGTATTCAGATATTGAAATACAGTATTTTATACATTTATAAGATTATGTTTGCATTTATTTAATTTATGTTTCTTTTTTTAAAGCATGTAGCCTTGAATGTTTGTTCTACTTTTTTTTTTTTTTTCTCACATCATTACTCTGGTACTGCTTGATGTAACTTGATTAGCTCCCTCCCCAGTCATGATTGGTAATTAAAATAGGCATTAAAATTAGTCACTTAGCAATTTTGCTGTTCAATTGGCAATTAAATTACTTAATTGCAATTAAAGTCCTAATTTTAATTGGCAAAATGATAGATGTAGATTTAAGATAATATGTATAAATACTTTAATAAGTGTCTATATAAGGATTACTTAATTACTCAACTTCAAGTTTATGCTGTTAACTTTAGAACTTTTAAGTGAGCAATGAAATTTATATTACATCTATTCAAAGGATATGGTAATTAGATTTATTACTTATCACTATAAGGGTCCTTGCTATAAGTTACTTTTGTAGCGTTCAAATTGTAGGCTTGATAATTGTGAATTATGATGAAGAAAAGGGCATATATGTCTTTGTTTTAGTATATCCATACCTTATTTTCCTTTTCATTAAATTAAGAGCATCTTATCCTTGAGGGGAAAAACAAATCAAAAGTGATTAGTATTAAAAGTAGAACAAAAACTAACCACCTGTGATTTACAAATAACTATTGCAAAGCATGTGTATTTATCTGTTTAAAGAAATGTCTAATGCTGTTAAGAGTTACTAATGTCATTAGCTATTGTTCGAACTTCAGATTTTTTTAATATTATTATATAACTACTAATGGTCAGACTCTTGAAATGTGTTTCAGGACTTTGTACATTTTAATGTCACCCATTTTACTGAAATTAACAATGAAATCTAAAAAACAAAGTTATCCTTTCTAACAAAAGAGAATTGTTATATAAGAAAATGTTAAGTGGTTAATTTGAAAGCAAATATTTAGGGGATGACCACGGTAAGTCCAGTATTAAGGAAAAGGTGAAAGATTTTTATTATGTACAGTGGTTTTTGAGTGGCATGAGGTTTTTACGGTATGTTCAGCTTTATGACTTTAATTTACAAGTAGATATTTCTAGAAAAAATGTTATTTACTTCTGCATATCTTTACACAATCTCTAGAACTGAGTTCTGAATTAGAGTAAGAAATTTAAAAATTCTGTATGTTCTGTGGTTTTGGTGAAAAATAGGCTGAGAGTAAAACTGAGCAAAATGTACATCTACCCAAAATGTGAGTATCAAAGAAACGACTGGCTTCCTTCAATGTCCTAGAAGGAGCAACATGCTCCTATGAATGCAAATAAAATATCCAAAGCAAAATAATAAAAATTTCATTATTATTTTTCTTTCAAGAAACAGACTTTTTTAAGGTGAAAATTTCTTTCTTCTATCACTACTGTAAAACTGCCCACCAAATAACAAGGGATGCTGTGACAATTTTTCCAAATAGAATTTAAGATACATATCTTATTTTAATGCATACAATAAGTTCCAATACCTTAAATTTTTTGAAGAAATATCTTAAAGTTACCTCAACTCTCACAGCATAACAGGTATGTCTGTTTTACTGGATCTGCATTGTGAGGTCTCTGAATTCATTTGAGGAGAACAGTGAAATCAATCCCTAGAGGTCTCTTTCCCATGCATTAAAATAGAAAATCCTATGGGATTACGCCCATGTTTGCTCTCTAAATTATACCAAAAGCTCAATTTTATTAAGTATAATCTGCTTAGCCATGCATAAAATAAAATACTTTGGTTTAGATGTGAGTGTATGTGTATTTATATTGATTTTTAATAAAATATTTTCTATACATGTGCAAATATATACTGCTTTATATAAGTTAATATCATGAAAGAAAATATAGTAACATTACCTTCCTCAATGCTTTTTTCATGCCATACAATTATATCTATTAATAGCAATAGCTTATAATTTATATTAGGAAGGACCTACTATGGATAGCACCAATTTTTGCTTCTATTATTTTGAATTATTAAGAAAATAGACCTTTATTGTGGGGTAACTTTACACATTTAAACATGGCAATAATTTAAAGTTATATCAGACTCTGGATCCTGAAAAAAAATTGTCATTTTAATTGAGGTATAAAATACTTTATTTGAAGTATATATGTGTAAAAATCCAGAAGGATTGCAGCCATATAAATGCAGAATTTCAGTTTCTTTTAGCCTAACACACCGTTTTAACATTTTCTAAGAGGTTGTTCAATTCTACATTTTGATTCCATTATATGTGTAATTAAGCCTCTATGCACAAAAGCATTCTCTTATGTACTAGCAAATACACCCACAGGAATTCTCTTCTAAACTGTAATTTATTTAAACATGTAATCATAGGATTTTAAAACATGCTTTCATTTTTCCAAACTATATGCCAATTTGAACTGCTTTGTGATAAAATGGGAGATTTTATTACCTTTTTTTTTTTTTTTTTCCTTCTTCTTCTGTGACCTAACAGTGAGTTAAACATGGGCAGGAGGAAATAAAGAAAACCCATTGTGAACCTAATCCCATGTGTTGAACTGTTTCCCTTTTGGAGAAAACAGGAAAGAATAAAAGAGTTGTCGTTGTTTATGAATTCCAGCACAATATGAACATTGGGACTGCAGCATTTTCTCCTGGGGCTTAGTTAGCCCAAGTAGTAAGAAGCTAATTGTGTGTTCGCTCACGCGCGCTCTCTCTCGCGCGCGCGCATGTCTGGGAGATAGTCTCTTGAACATTGTGGAGTCAGGCCCCCTACTGACAAGATAGGCCAACTGCAGATTTTGGCGGTGCTTCTGCGACTTCGCCCCTCCAGAATTTAGTGGGAAAACAGTTGTGTGAGGTTCCGAGTATGGGAAACACTTCTGATCTGTGCACTGCATCCTTCCCACCTGGAGCATATGCGACTCTACCCAAAACTCCAACCCTCGAATTCTCTCACCAAAGAATTAGTTTCAGCGGGTTTACGAGTCATTCCTGAGCAGCGGTGTTGCGTCCTAGGAAGCCGAACCTGGATTTGAAGAGGGAAAACTCATGGATGGGAAGAAGTCTCCACTTCTCTCATTTAAAAGTTATACTTCATTATTGTCACCTAACTATCATAATAAGCTGCTGTGACCACTGCCTTTGGATCTTGGGTACCTCAGGATGCGAGCAAAGGGTCTCCCCAAGAAACTAGGCAGGGCAGGTTAAAGAATAACACATCATATTACAATGTGTGACTTCTGTGGTGCTCACACTAAGAACTCCAGGCGTCTCCTCTCTCCGGGAAAGCATTTTTCAAAGTGTCCCTAGACTCAGCCCAACCCAAACGTAATGTGTTTTTAATGACTGTGAAGGAGAGGAGAGTGCCGAGAACTCAGACTCACAAGTGTAGGGAGGGACCCTTAAACTTCTCCCGGTACCCGCTTCTCCTAGAACTGTATTAAAAAATAATGACGGCCACCCCAGCGTAGCTAAGCTTGGCTTTCCGACTGTCTGAAAATAGCCGCCGGGAACCGGGCCCACCGCGTGGATAAAGGAGAGCTCTCCAGGCCGCGCCCCGCTCTCTCGCGGAAGGGGAAAGGGAAGCGAACCGGTAGGGCGCCTGTGAGCTGGAGTTGCTGCTATTTTGGGCCCAGCCCGGCGGGTGCGTCAATGGCTGCGCCCCTGCGTCACCGCCACCCCCACCCCCTTCCTTCTCCCCAGCTCTCCAAACTCTCACTTTTTCCCTTTCGTTCGCGTGGAATGGTTTCTGCCCACGGGGCGCTGACGCTACCGAACTCACACTAATAAGCTGTTCTTCGCCCTGTCCCCATCCCCCACTCGCACCCCACCCCCCACTTCCTGGTTTTATTTTTTTTCTCGCGCCTACTAGGGCACCACTGAGCCGTAGCAGCGGCAGCTGGAGCTGCAGCCGCAACATCTGGGGGAAACTTAAGGTGGTCACGTAGGTGTCCCCGCGGCGGCAGCTCGGAGGAGCGCGCCGCTGGTCTGGGCAGCCGCAAGGCACCCGATGGCGACGCCTCTGCAGCGGCAGGGACATGGGCTCGAGCCCAGCGGGCAGAGGCGGAGGTGCAGGCTAGGCAAGAGCAGCTCTGCAACCCGGAGGTTGCAGGCGAGGCTGGAGAGCAGCCCTGCTACCCGCAGTTGGTTGGAGCTCTCGGCCGGTGCTGAGGTCACCGAGAGGGGCCCTGGAGGAGGGTTGGGAGTGCTGTCCCGGGAGCAGAAGGGGACCCTGGCAGCTCCCTCCCTGGGTCCCAGCTCCTTCCTGTCCCGGGGAGAAGCCCCAGGAGGCGGGCCCCAGGGTTGGAGTGGGGGGCGGGGAGGACTGCTAGGCCCCTGGAGCGGCGGCGATTCCTTTGCTAGAAAGCTCCACGCGCCTGGGCTTGGCGGGCGGATTGTCTTGCAAAGCGGAGCTACGGCGACTCCGTGGAGCGCGGGGGTGGGGCACGCTCTCCCAGCCCGTGGGGACCCTGGGCTGAGGCTGTGGGCACAGACTCGCCACCTGGCTCACCCGTCCCCGGCTCCACCCGGCTTGCCCCGACTCCCTCCAGGCTTCTCTTCTCGGTTGCGAGTGTGATAGCCCTTGTGTTTCAGAGTAAGGTAGATTAATTTCCCTAAAACTCGTGGAAGGGATGGGAAGGACTTGGGCACAGAGCAGTGTCGGCGGGGATGGAGTTGGCAGAGGTGGGATCGCTGCACCTTTCTGCAGGAGGCGCACCTGTTGCCTGCCGCTGGGATGCATTGTCTGCAAAAGAAAAGCAAGCAACCATTCACTCCTACTTTGGGGATTCTGGACGGCCTGTTCTAGGTCTACCTCTCTCCCTTCTCCCTCCTTGTAGTGAGAATCCTTGCAGTTCCAGGAAAGAAAGGAAAAAATAAAATTAGGCCCCATCCCGAGAGAGAGAGAGAGAGAGAGAGAGAGAGAGAGAGAGAGAGAGAGAGAGAGAGCGCCCAGAGGAGAGGGGGCAAAGAGAGAAAAAAAAGAGAGGGGGACAGACACGAGCGAGAAACCAACAC